GGTGCTCCTCTGGCGTCGCCATGGTCCCGCGGGCGAAGCCCATCAGCCCGGCCATCTCCAGCTGGGGCTCGATGGCTTCCTTCCACGTGAGGATGTCGGGACGACCGACCAGCAGAGGGGTGACCGAGATCCTGTCCGGCGTAAACTTGAAGTAGCCGTAGCTCGGCGCAATTTCTCCCACGGTCACGTGTGTCGCCGACATCGGCGCCAATTCACTTCGTCTGCCTTCGACGTAGCCCCGCGAGGCCCCTGCAGCCGCGAACGACTGCATCCCTCGCGCCTGAACGCCGCCGACTTCATCGGCGTGAATCACACCACGCTGCCTCGACGTGCCTCCCGCACTGCTGCCGACTTGGCCACCTCCGGCGTTGACGCCCACGTCGACGCCGCCCTCGGTGTTCACCGGTCGAGGAAAAGCAGGCTGAGAAGGAGGGTGCTCCGTCGCCCACACGGCGCGGATGCCAGCCTCGACGACCGCCCACGGGAGGTCGCCAAACTCCTGCGCCTCATGGCGTCTCCTCGCGCCTGCCAGCCGTGCCTCCATGGTGTCTGCAACACCAGCGTCACCCACGCCAACCATGGTGGTGACTCACACAGCTGCCGGCCTACGAACACAATAGGTAAGTGACTACTACGTCGACCTGACTGAAAGGTAAGTCATGTGCCTTCCACGCTCACCGCACCATGCGGAGATAACTATTGCAACGGGGGCTAGACTACGGGCTAGGCACGGATGCTCGTGTGATCTCTGCGTTCGTTCCTTCCTTAGTCGTTTCCAAGTGCTAACACTACTTGCTAGTTCACGGGGAAAATTGGCAAGAGTTTCACTAGGAAAACATGACAACAAAAGTTCAGAATGATTGCATCAACATTGGCAACACAGACTACATCAGACCTAGCAAGGCTGCTGGTCGACTGCCAGCGCAGCACGGTCGACCGCGCTCCAGCAGAGCAGAGTCGCGGCTTGCCAACGTTGCAAGTCCGCGGTGTGCCAACGCTGCAGTAATTCGGCTGCACAGCGTTGCACCCGCCTGACAATGGTGCACCAGCTTCGCAGGTGCGTGCAGCTGGTTGGCGCCCAACTCTCCGTCACATGTCCAGCGCAGACACTCCACCCATGACGGCGCCCACCAGCCACGTCGACCTCGGGATACCACCCCCGAGGTCGTCCTCGCAGAAAACACCCTCGCGACTTTCGTGCACATCGCCCGGGTATCCTGGTTGACAGGGTATTTCGCGGTCCCCGCGGTCCTCCCGCGGTTTCGCGGCCCCCGTGGTCCGCCCACGGTTTCGTGGCCCCCGTGGTCCGCCCCCGATTTCGTGGCCCCCGTGGTCCGCCCACGGTTTCGCGGCCCCCGTGGTCCGCCCACGGTTTCGCGGCCCCCGTGGTCCGCCCACGGTTTCGCGGCCCCCGTGGTCCGCCCACGGTTTCGTGGCCCCCGTGGTCCGCCCACGCTTTTGCGGCCCCCGTGGTCCGCCCACGGTTTTGCGGCCCCCGTGGTCCGCCCACGGTTTCGCGGCCCCCGTGGTCCGCCCACGATTTCGTGGCCCCTGCGGTTGGCTCCGCCCAAGCAAGGACGGGGCCAAACACTACTCCCGTTGACAGCTTGAGCACCGTTGCTGTCTTTACTGACTTGTCCTTAGGCTCCCTCAGCCTATCCAGGACCTCCACCTTGGCCTGTTGTATCCCTATCTGCCCCCCCTTCACCTTGTAACCCAGGTATTGCACTGTCTGTTCCTCCCATCTGCACTTCTTCGGGTGGCAGGTGAGTCCCGCCGCTTCTATTGCAGCCAGGGTCCTCTCCACATCCTGCAGGTGCTGCTGCTTTGTCGTGCTGAAGATCACCACATCATCAATGTAGCAGGCCGCACACTCCACGCCCCTCAGCACGCTGTCCATGACCCTCTGGAACACGGCTGAGGCGTGCCTCAACCCAAATGGCATGTACAACCATTCATACAGCCCGTCCGGCCCATGAAAGGCCGTCTTCTTGATGTCCTCCTCTCTGATCTTGATCTGGTTGAACCCTTGCCGCAGGTCCAGCGTCGTGAAGAATACCCCCTCTGCTAGCTTGTCAAAGATCTCTTCCGCCATTGGCATCGGGTATCTGTCCGCTATGGTGATCTTGTTGAGTGCCCTGTAGTCCCCACACATCCTTCTGCTCAGCACCTCCCCTGTTAGGTCCCGCCTGGCTGCCACCACCGTCGGTGTGGCGTACTCTGCTTCTGACCTCCTAATCAGTCCCGCTTCCAGCAGCTCCTTGATCTTCTCCTTACAGATTTCCTCGTCCCCGTGTGGCATCTTCTTCCTGCGGTGAAACACTGGTTCCGTGCTGCTCAGCTTCAGCTCCATCTCCTTCACCTTGTAACTCCCCAGTTCCTGCAGGGTGAAGGCGAAGCACTTTATGTGCCTGGCCAACAGCTCCCGCATGGCCTCCTTCCCCTTTTCGCTCATCGCTTCTCCCACCTCCCATTTTTCCTCCTCCTTCTTCTGGCAGCTCCACGCTCCCCGAGGCACTGCCTCTATCTCTCCCTTCCCTTCCTCATGCCCCCAGCTCACGACCGTCTCTCGCCACATCCGCTGGATCAGCCACCTCAGCACGTGGCCATCCATCGCATTCCCTAAAGCCCTCCTTCTGTCCGCCTCACTGGCCCCTGGTGCTGCTGTTGCATCTTCCCCATACCCCATGGCCAGCTCCCGTTCTAGTGCCGTGGGTTCCTCCCATCTCCGTCTCCTGTGATCATACACCATGCCCGGCCCGGGCTTCCCTGCTTCCCACTTGTACCCAGCCGCTCCCGCATACGCCACTAGGGTGGGCAGGGCTCGTCTCTCCTGCCCTACTTGGTTGCAAGGATAATGCCTTCTGTAGCTCTTGCGACACACCGGTGCTAGGGTCCGCCCTGGTGCTAGGATGTCCTGCACCTTCCTTTCCCCTACTCGCTCCACCCCATCCATCTCTTCTTGTAGCTTCACGGCAGGGACCACATTCTGCCAGTACATCCTCAGCCGATGTGCGTAAGACCCGGTTCTGGCCGCATCACAGCTCACCCCTTCCCCCAGCTGCCCCCTGATCCTTTCTCTCACTAATCGGATCGGCTCTCTGCTGTCTCCCTCCAGGTCCAGGTTTTCTAGAAAGTATGCCGCCCTGCCCTGCCTCTCCTGCAGCCACTCCATGATGCGGAACAGGTCTTCCATCAACCTTGTCCTGGGATCCTCTCCTCCCCTCCCCTTGCCTGCCCAAGACACCCCTTGGCATTCCCACCCCGCCACCAGCAGATCCACCTGCCCCCAGCTCACCACCTCTGCCTCTCTTATCTCCTGCACGTCATGGATGGTTCCAGCCATGGCTTCTCGAACCACCCTCCCACTCAGCAGTTCTGGGAACTCCACTTGCAGCTTCCATGCATGGTGCTCCGCCATCCACCTTTGGCTCCTTCTCCACGTAAGTCCACTTCCTCACTGCGATTCCACTCCTCACCACAGCTGACAGCCCTGCCCCTATCCCTCCAAACAGCTCCACCAGATGGATGGGCTGCTGCCAATCACTCTGCCACCTTGGCTCGTTCATCCATCTCATCTTGGGTCCCTCTTCTAACCCTGCTGTCCCTTCCTGCTCCTCTGCTTGCTGCCCCCCTTGCAGCAGTTCCCCCGCGGCCTGGTATGCTCTCTTGGGCTTCACTTTCACAAATCGCACCGGCAGTTCTCCCAAAGGCCCCTCCTTCTTCCAGTACCGCGTTCTAAACTCGACCTTCTCAGTCCAGGTACATATGGTAATCCCCACCGCGAACACTAGCTCGGTGCCCACCAATACATCAAAGTCCTCCGACTCTGAAATCCCACACTTCATGCGGATTTCGGTCTCATGTTCCCCCCTCGGCAGCAGCGTCACTTCTATGGGCGTTCGGGTGCACGGCATCCACTTTGGTTCCCCTCCCTCCGCTGTCATCACCAGCATCCCCTTTGCCACATGCCTCTCTGGCGCCAGCAACCCTAGCCACTCAGCCATCCCCTTTCCCAGCATCACACTCTGTGCTCCTGTGTCTATAATTGCAGTCTTCACCTTCTCTCCCTTCCATTGCTCCGCTTTCCAGCAGCAGCACTGAGGTATGGCACGCCAGCCTTTCTTGGGGATGGCGTGCTGGGGCTCGTTCCTGGGCCGGCTCAGCTGGCTTCTCTCCCTTCTCTTGTTCCTTCCTTCCCTGCTCCCGCCTGCCATCCTTCCCTCCGCTCCTCAGCCCCATTTCTTCTCTTCCTCTCTATGCCATGAGTGCACACTGCACATCTTGCTCCACCTCCTCCCCCTCTTCGTCTCTGGCATTCATCCCTGCCTCGGCCTCCCCTCTTAGCCCTGTTGCCCTCAGCTGTGCCTGCAGCCTGCTGATCTGCTGCTGCAGCTCCTCCGGGTGCCTCTTAGGCCCTCACTCCCTCTGATAGCAGTCCTTTGCCTCGTGTCCTCGTTTCTTGCAGATCTCACACCTGGCTGCATCTGGGCATTCCCGCTTCCTGTGCCCTGGCTTCCCACAACCGTCACAGTTTTTGCAGTCCCTGCGTAGATGCCCTGGCTGCCCACACCTGTGACAAGTCCTGGTGTCAATTCCTGTCTCCCCTCGCCCATCTACTCTCCCTCCCCCCTCTGGTATCATTGCCGCTGCCCACTTTGGCCTCCTGCTTCTCTCTGTCGGCCTGGGCAGATAAGCCTCGTACTTCCTTTGTGCGAGCTCCACCCTTTCTGCCAAATCAAACACCTCCTCTAAGCTTGCCTCCGCGCCCAGCTCATACACTCTCATCCTCAGCCCCCCCCCCCCCAGAGCCTCGTCTAGGCCTCCTAGGAACTTGCAGATGAGAAGACTGTTGTCCGTGCATTTCACGTCTTCCGCCACGTTAATCAGTCTGTTGTAGTAGGTCAGCAGTGACTCCGCCCGGCCCGTCCTGAATTCCTGGAATTCCCTTATGCGCTCCGCCGTGTGCCCTGGGAATTGCCGCTACAGTCGCTCCAGAAATGCCTCGGTGGGGTCTTCTCCGTACCTCCCTGCCCTCCAGAGCAGTTCCTCCATCCTCATGCGGTACAACGTCTCGGCCTCTCCCTCCAATGTGTTCGGTAAGCTCAAGAAAAAGTCAACCGGGTCCATATTGTGCCTGTCGCAGCGGTACCGCACATTCCCCACCTGCATCAGGTAATTCTTGAGGGTAGGCCCCGCGCGCTGATCTCCCGAGAACCTGGCGGGCACTTCCACTTGCGGGGTGCTGGCAGTACCCCCTCGCCCCTCTCCCCACGCTTCACTTGCTCCTCTTGGCTGACTTCTCTCCGCTCCTCTCTCCCTTGCCCTTTGCATGCCTTCTCTGGCCTCCCGTGCCCGTTCCGCGCCGTACACCAAGCTTTCGCCCTCCGCTCTGCTCTCTTGGCGACTCCCTTCCGCCTCGCGGCGCCTTTCCCTCGGCCCTCCCCACGCTTCCGCACGTCCCCATTGCTGCGTCGGCGGGTCGTGCATCCTCCGCCCTTCCCACTTGCTGCTTTCGCGCTGCTGCCGCCTCTCTGGCGACGGTGACCAGGTGCCTTCCCTCCTGCTGCGCTGCTGGCGGCGCTCTGGCGAGTGCCTTTCCCTTCCGTACTTCTCCCTCCGCTGGCGGCGCCAGTCGGGCGAGCGGGACCCGCTGCTATCCCTCTTCTCTCTCTGCCTCGGCCGACCCGGCGAGCGCCCCACGCTGCTGCGTTCCCCGTGCTGCTGACCGCGGCGCTCCTGCGACCAAAGCTCCTCCCCGTGCCTTCCTTCCTGGCGCCCGTGCGGCTCAGGTGAGCGCGGCTCATCCTTCCATCTGCCACCGCGCGCCTGCCACTGCTCCGGCGAACGCATGCCGCCGCCGCTCCAGCCTCCCTGCTCTTGTCGCCTATCGTACGGGCGGAAGTCGCCTACGCGCCATTCTCCAGCGAGCGCGACCGCTCCGCCTTCCCCTTGCCATGCTGCCTTTGCACCAGTGCATCTCGAACGCCCTCGTCTGGTGTCACTCGCTCCTGGCGAAGTGAGCCCTCCGCGCACTGCTCTTCCCCACGGCTGACGTCTCGACCGTGAGATTCCCGCAGCGCGGCCCTCGATTCTTCGGCTGCCGCCTGGCTTACGCCAGCGTTCTCGTCTGCCTGCGCGGGTTCAGCCTCACCCGTTCCCGCTGCCTGGTCGTCGCCGTCATTTCCTTCATCGGCCTCCTCGACCTGCAGCCCTTGGTTCTCCTCATCCTCTTACGCGCCTTGCTCCCATGTCACTTCCTGTACCGCGTTCTCCTGCGAGACCCCATTCAATCATCGCCGCCAGTGTCTCCTCCCCGTCCCCGGGGAAGTTCCCTGAAACCTCGCCAACGACCTCTCTCATCACGGCGCCGTTCTCGATCTTCTGGAGAGCGGAACAATCCTGCGTCGCGGCGGTTTCCACGATCCTCGCCAGTTCCGCGCGCTCTCTCTCGCAGCCACGCGTCTCTATTCGTGCCTCCGACGTGCCCGGCGTCGCCTGCTCCCACGCCCGTCGATCCTTCTTTTCGACGGTCCCTTGCGAGAGGGATTCGATCCGCGCGGAAGGCCGGCCGGCGCAGCGATCGCTCCAAGGACCGCCCTCGTTCACGTGATGGCTCGCGTCGCGGCCGTTCCTCCTCCCGTCGGCTGAACATCCTACCCCAACGCAACTCGTACTTATCCATATCTACTCACTCTCGATGCTTTCTCTTTGTTATGAAAGAGATTGGTCCCTCACCCCGTAGGTTCCCTCTTAGTGACGTGCCTCAGTGTGCTAGAGCGAAGATAGCAACTTTCACTAGTTCGAGAGAATAAAAACGAGAAAGCATCGAGGGGTTGGACGTGAGTGACCTTACCCAACCCCAGGCTGCACATTTCCAAATGTGCGGCTCGGGGTTGGGATTGATTGGTTTCACATTTTGCCCTTCGGTGTCTTTTCCCCCTTTCATCCCAACCGCTCCTATCCCGTTTCCCCCCTTCTTTCCCCTTCCTAACAGTTACCTCGCTACATTCTACACCTTCAGCCTATTTCTGTTCTATAGTATTATAACCATCTATTCTTCCTATGGCTGCAACCTAGAGCCCTGCCTATACCATCACCCTACTGTTATTGCATATGCATTAGGTGCATATGCGGTGACATACATGGCTAGTCTAGGTCGTTTCGTATTCCTTTGTACTCTTATATGAACGAATATATTGGCATGTTTTAATCATCTCAGTCATTTTAAATCCATGCTGACATGAGGTCAACTTCTTCCGCTGCAATATACTATACGAACCTTCTTGAGGTGATCCTATGCACGATCAAACTTTTGATCACAACATGAGATACAAATGGAACCCGTTGTACTCTCTAAAGAGCACCTCACCTCATTGTAGCCTAACTAACAAACCAACATGCATATATAATTTGATACGCCCCCATATGCTATGTAGGTGAGGGGCATCACACAACAACACAGGGCGGATCAACTAGTCCAACCACTGAGACACATGGTCACAAAACCGGTCAAGAAAAGCAACAAGCAAGAGGCGCAACTTAGGGTGGTACGACTAGCCAGAAAAGACCAAGCGTGCCTGTCCGCGTCTCAGCAGCTCTCGCAGGAGGAAGTACCGCAACTCGATGTGCTCCACTTTGCTCTCCAGTCGAGGCTCTCGACACAGGAGGATCATGGCCTTGTTGTCAGCGAACAAGGACAGTGCAGAGATAGGCCGCTCACCTAGGTCTGTGAGCAAGATAGTCAGCCATAGGAGTTCCTAAGCAGCCATGGCACCGGCGTAGATCTCAGCCTCAGAGTTGGCCGAAGCCATAGATGGCGCTCGTGTCAAACTCCATGATACAACTCCAGAGCCCAGGCTGGAATTGTATCCCTGTGTAGACCTGCGGGTCTCCTTGTCGTCTGCACAAGACGAGTCGTTATGCTCAATAAGTCGCATTAGTTGGCTCCCTCCAAGCACAAGCCCCATGCCTGATGTGGTCGCCATGTACTTCGCTACCCTCTTAGCAGCTGTCCAGTGAACCTGCCGGTGTTTCTCAGTGGCAACAAAGCGAGCAAGGATGCTGAGGGGATAGGCGAGCTCCGGTCGAGTACACGTCATTAGGTACATGAGGCAACCCAAAAGCTCTGCATACCAGCCACTAGGCTCAACTGGATGGGAACAGGAGTAGTGAGCCTATCGCCAACAGCAAGAGGAGTGGGATGTGTGGAGGAGAACATGAAGCCGAACTGCTGAAGGACGTGCTGCACAATGTGTGACTGGGTCAGAGTGATGGCGCGAGCTGCTCTGTCCCTGGTGATATGCAAGCTAAGATAGCTGCACAACTCACCAAGGTCAGTGCAGGTGTGTCTCTTCTGGAGTTCAGACTTCATTGACACCAGAGCAACACCGTCTGTAGTAGGAAAAGACCAAGTCGTCAACGTAGACGAGGATGAAGGAAGGAGAGGACCTGTCAGAATCCCAACCACTAGACCATTGGGATAAAAGGGCTTTTTTAAGTAGCGGGTCAGTGCGCCCATAACCCCCCAGGCCAACGTGCCTGTAACCCTTCCCTAGGATCAATCGGGGATCACCAGTGGACCTCTGACACCCCCCCGCACTGGGATGCCCGAAGTGCATACACCGGGATTCGAACCCGAGACCTTCGCTCTGATACCATGTCAGAATCCCAACCACTAGACCATTGGGATAAAAGGGCTTTTTTAAGTAGCGGGTCAGTGCGCCCATAACCCCCCAGGCCAACGTGCCTGTAACCCTTCCCTAGGATCAATCGGGGATCACCAGTGGACCTCTGACAGGACCTAGAACGAATCAAATGTGACGTTTCGGCAGAAGAAGGGCGGAACCCAAGGGACGCAAGAGTGGTACGAAGAGTGTCGTGCAACTCACGAGGTGCCTGGCGAAGTCCGTAGACTGGTCGACTCAGGCTCCGCTGGGTCCCAGGCGGGAAAGTGCTAGTGAAGCCAGAAGGATGACGTAGCCAATTCTCCTCGTGCAGGCAGCACTGGAGGAAGGTAGTGGAAAACTATAGCGAGTGCAGCTAGCAGTCTCGCGGTGCTGCAATGTGCAGCAGCACCCGAAGAGTGGTCATATTCGAGGTGGGGGAGAAGGTATGAAAAAAATATACTCCCTCACGCTGACAAATCGTGTGATGGCTGTCCTTCGTGCTGAGATGTTGGTTGCAGATGCTGCTGTGCTGGAACCAGTTCTGGCTGATGGGGAAATTGACAAACAGGCGTCTGCAGACATGGCAACCTTTGCTGGCGTGTCGGCGTTTGGTGACGTGGCGGATAGGAAAACTGCGGTAGCTGAGGTGGCGCTGGGTCGGATAACGTAGATGGGGAGGTCCGGGGTGACAGTAACAGGGTGTGGGAGCAATCAAGGCAAGAGGCTACTGCTGGGGCAGGTGAAACCCTAATCTCAACCTCTGCTGCTGCTGAAGATGCTTCTGTTGCTACTTTTACCACTGCTGTTACTCATGCTGTTACCACTATGGTTACCACTGCTACAGCTGGAGCTAGGTCTGGCAGCAGCAGGCGCTACAGCACAGTTGCTGCAGGCAGCAAGGGCAGGAGCAGGGCAGGGGACAGTGGTGGCAGGGGGAGTGGCAGTGGTAGGGGGAGCAGCAGTGGGAGTGAGTGTATTGGTGGCAGCAGGGAGGGTGTGCGAGCGAGGGGGGACGGGGGAAAGCAGGCGAACTTAAAGCAAGGAAGACTGTTCCAAAGGGCAAGGGGCGGGTTGTGAGGGACAGAGACCTGCCTACTCGCAGTCACACTATGCTCTCGTGCCCTCTCCCCTGCTCTCCCCTGCCCTGCTCTTTCCCTCCCTCGCACCTCCACCCCTCCCACTGCCGCGCCTTCCTGCCTTCCCTACTGCCTGCTGGTCAAGAGCTGGAGGGAGGGCGAGGAGGGGAGGGGAGAGGGGGGCGAGGGAGTGAGGAGAGGGGAAGGCGAGGGGTTGAGGGATATCGAACTGTTAGAAATATATTGTAGCATGCCTAACACAATTGTGACTGTACACCAAGTGGTGTACAGTTGGGTTGGGACTACACCCAACATTGGGTGTAGCCTTGCATGTTGGGGTGCCATTCCAACCCAATTGTGGTGGAGCCCCCAAATGCAACCCAGTGGGCCATTGGTTACTTCACTTCCCAAAGTGAGGTTAACTCAACCCATTGGACCACATGTTGCCTCACTTCCCCAAGTGAGATCAACCCAACCCAATGGGCCATAGGTTGGCCCACTCCCCCAAGTTCCACCTCCCTCCCTTTCCCTTCCAAACTTCTCTTCCCACCTATGTATGCTTGCTTGTTACCTAATCAAGCTAATGATTCAATTTCAACTTTTCACATGGTATAGAGCTAAACCTTCCTTGGCCTTACCTCCCTCCCCTCTCAAATTGTTTTTTTTTTCCCAAGGGCCCACCATGCAGTTACAACCAATTGCCCGCTTCCACTTCCCCTCCTCCGCAACATCGCTGCCGTCGCTGCCGTGCGTTCCCACTGCCACGACACTGTCGTCGCCGCCCCACCTTCCCGTGGCCGCGACAACGCCGTCGCCGCCCCGCTTCCCCGCCGCTGCGACATCGCCGCCGTCGCTGCCGTGCGTTCCCACTACCGCGACACTGCCGTCGCCGCCCCACCTTCCCACGGCCGCGACATCGCTGTCGCCACCCCGCTTCCCTGCCGTTGCGACATCGCCGCTGTCGCCGCCGTGTGCTTCTACGGTAGCGACTAAGCAGCCCCCGCCCCACTTCCCCGCCGCCGTGTTCCCCCCGTCGCTGCCATTCGTTCCCCTCGCCGCGACGCTCCCGTCGCCACCGTTCGCTCCCCTTGCCGCGACCCTGCCGTCGCCGCCGCTCACTCCCCTCGTCGCGACGCTGCCGTCGCCGCCACTCGCTCCCCTCGCCGCGACCCTGCCGTAGCCGCCACTCGCTCCCCTCGCCGCGACACTGTCGTCGCCGCCGCTCTCTCCCCTCGACGCGACGCTTCCGTCGCCACCGCTCGCTCCCCTCGACGCGACGCTGCCGTCGCCGCCGTTCGCTCCCCTCACCGCAACCTCACCGTCGCCGCCTTACTTCCTCGCCGCCGTGCATTCCCGTTCTCGCAACGCTCCGTCACCGCCCTGATTTCCCGCCGCAGCGACTCCTGCCCACCTGCCCCCGCGACCTCGCTCCTCGCTGCCGCCTGCGCATTCCCCCGCCGCCGCACAACCGCCTTGCCGTCGCGCTGCCATGACCCCGAGCCACCTCCGCCCCCCCCTGTCGTCCCGCCGACACAGCCCACCATCACCAGCAGCATCAGCGGCCGCCTATAGCAGCTCAGCCACAACAGCAGCCACCGGGAGCAGCTCTGCCGCAGCAGCAGCCGTCAGGAGCAGCACAGCCGCAGCAGAAGTCGCCAGGAGCAGCACAGCCGCAGCAGCAGCCGCCGGGAGCAGCACAGCCGCAGCAGCAACTACCGGGAGCAGCACAGCCGCAGCAGATATTGCCTGAAGCAGCACAAAAACAGCAGCAGCCGCCGGGAGCAGCACACCCGCAGCAGCAACTGCCTGGAGCAGCCCAACAGCAGCAGCAGCCGCCGGGAGCAGCACAACATGAGCACCAGCCATTGGAGCAGCATAGCAACAGCAGCAGCAACCGCCAGGAGGAGAGCTCCTGCAGCAGAAGTCGTTGGAGGAGTGCAACTGCAGCAACACCACCCACGCCGCACGGGTCCACCCATTGCCGCTTCCCCTTAGCCGACACGGGTCCACCCGCTGTCGCTTCATCTTTGGCCGCCGCAAGTCCCACCCACCATCGCCCTCCATGGCTGCTACCCCCATCACAAAAACCCTATGCCAAGTTTGGATGAATTTTGATTTCGATTGTCTTCGCGTAAAAAAATCCGGAGCCAATTTGGACCGACGGTTGGATTCATTTGATAGGAGCTCCGAGACACATCTCGCGACAAGGTTTGGCTCGGTTCAAGTTCCAATTTGGCACGCGAGCTTTTCCGGATGACATTCGGGCGCAATCCGTTTTGGTGCAAATTCGTGACCAAATTATCCAAGACTAAATTCTGTTTTTGTTCATTTTGGATATTGAGGATTTCAAAATTGCATTTATTATTGCGGTTTACAACAACCATTATTCAGCATTCTAGCAACAAGCAGTCTTAGCACCAGGTCAAATAGCCTACGCACTGGCGGGCCTAGAAAGCACCGGGTGGGCAAGGACGACATCTCCAAGGTCACCGTCGTCGATGAGGAACTTGTTCGGAAAGAAGAACGCACCCATAGCCGGATCGTGGGGGATCCTCCGCTCCACGACAGCAAAGTGGATCATCTGTTTGACCTTTTCGCACCACTCCTGGTAGTCTGGCCTGTTCTGCTCCGGCTGGCTACTGATTCGCTTACGACGCTTATCCTGCAGACGGGGCCATTCGATCTGCAATGTGGTGTAGGGTTGGGTGGATGGTTTATGAGGAGGGTAGGTTACGGGTAAATGAGGCAACTCAAAGCGGTGATGCAGTCGTCACTATCTACGTGACTGCAAAGGCTTAATCGACCAGGGATTTAGCTGAAGTACAGGCAAGGGGTTAAGGGGATGAGGCATGGGGGTACAAACACATATCTACATCCTTACCGAAAACAGGCCCCATGCCACCATGCGGCTCTTGAACTTGGTGAACACTGCCCCGCCCCTCTTGAAGGAGAGCTTGAACGCATAAGCGAACAAGGGGTTGCTGAAGGGCGTCCCGGTGGCCTTGTCAAAGTGCCAGTTGAGGGCCCACTGTTATGCTCTTTGGCAGGGAGGGTATGGGTTGGAAAGGGTTTTGTAGAGAAATCAAGTGGGGGGATGAGAGTCAGGGTGAGCCACATCGCACGGTGATATGTAGCTGCCAACTGGCATATGGTAGGGCATATTGTGTTTTCGAGTTGCACTGCACATACCATCTTTGTACTTGGCTAGGAGTTGATCGTCGTCGAACCAGGTCGTTGGGTTTAGCTCAGTGGGAAGGCTATCCACGAGATGGCTGTAATCGGCAAGGCCCATGCCGGTGTATGCTGCTGGCCTGAGGGTGGAGTTGATAGTTGACCTTGTTGAGGACAGCTGGTGGTTGAAGACTCCCATGGTTGACTTGTCATTGTGCAACCACAGCAGCTTCATTGCCTCGAGCCCTTCTGCAGACAAGTGGACAGAGAACGCGTCGAACACTTCCTCCGGTGCAGGGTAGTACTGTATTTTCTCCGGCGGGTTCAGAAACATGAGCTGAGAGCACACTAAGTAGGCTTTGTTCTGCGCAGGGGTGTAAGGTATACAACACGACATGGGAGAGAGAAACCAGCAGTTATGAGTGTGGCCGCGTGACCAGGGGATGGTGACTAGCAACACTGTGTGAACTTGCCACGTCACACCCTGCGCCATCCGACACGTCCACCAACAAACCGCCCCACTTGCCACGTCACACCCCCCTACCACAAGCCACGTCACCCCCCACCCACCTGACACGCCTCGCTTCGTCATGCGCAGTGGTCACGTGTACCCTTTCAAACCGCCACGTCATCCCCAACCCTCACCTTCCGCCACGTCACACCCACCTGCATCCGCCACGTCATCCCCAACCCTCACCTTCCGCCACATCACACCCTCCTGCATCTGCCACGTCCACCAACCAGCCCCACGTGCCACGTCACATCCTCCTGCATCCGCCACGTCCACCAACAACCAGCCCCACGTGCCACGTCACACCCTCCCACCCCATGCCACGTCACCCCCGACCCACCTGACACGCGTCGCCTCGTCACGCGCCGCTCCCGTGTACCATTCCAAACCGCCACGGCACACACTCACCTCACATCCCGCCACGTCACACCCTCCTGCATCCGCCACGTCCACCAACAACCAGCCCCACGTGCCACGTCACACCGACCCACCCCATGTCACGTCACCACCCACCCACTTGACACGCGTCGCCTTGTCACGCGCCGCTCCCGTGTACCATTCCAAACCGCCACGTCAGCCCCAACCCTCACATTCCGCCACGTCACACCCTCCTCCATCCGCGACGTCCACTGACAACCAGCCCCACGTGCCACGTCACCCCTCACCCACCTGACACGCGTTGCCTCGTCACGCGCTGCTCCCGTGTACCATTCCAAACCGACACGTCAGGCCCAACCCTCACATCCCGCCACGTCACACCCTTTTGCATCCGCCAACAACCCGCCCTACTTGCCACGTCACACCCCCCACCAAGAGCCACGTCACCCCCCACCCACCTGAAACGCCTCGCTTCGTCATGCGCCGCTCACGTGTACCCTTTTAAACCGCCACGTCATCCCCAACCCTCACCTTCCGCCACGTCACACCCTCCTGCATCCGCCACGTCATCCCCAACCCTCACCTTCCGCCACGTCACACCCTCCTGCATCCGCCACGTCCACCAACCAGCCCCACGTGCCACGTCACACCCTCCTGCATCCGCCACGTCCACCAACCAGCCCCACGTGCCACGTCACACCCTCCTGCATCCGCCACATCCACCAACAACCAGCCCCACGTGCCACGTCACACCCTCCCACCCCATGCCACGTCACCCCCCACCCACCTGACACGCGTCGCCTAGTCACGCGCCGCTCCCGTGTACCATTACAAACCGCCACGTCAGCCCCAACCCTCACATTCCGCCACGTCACACCCTCCTCCATCCGCGACGTCCACTGACAACCAGCCCCACGTGCCACGTCACCCCCCACCCACCTGACACGCGTCGCCTCGTCACGCGCCGCTCCCGTGTACCATTCCAAACCGACACGTCAGGCCCAACCCTCACATCCCGCCACGTCACACCCTTTTGCATCCGCCAACAACCCGCCCTACTTGCCACGTCACACCCCCCACCAAGAGCCACGTCACCCCCCACCCACCTGAAACGCCTCGCCCCGTCATGCGCCACTCCCTTGCACCGCCACTCCCTTTCACCCTTTCATCCGCCACGTCCACCAACAACCCGCGCCACTTGCCACGTCACACCCACACACCCCATGCCACGTCACCCCCCACCCACCTGATACGCGTCGCCTCGTCACGCGCCGCTCCCGTGTTCCCTTCGAAACCGCCACGTCAGCCCCAACCCGGCCCTGGTTGCCACGTCAACCCCAACCCGCCCCATTTGGCCCGCCACATACCGGGAATGGGTTTGTCTCCTGCAACACTAGCACTCGTGCCTTGTCCACGGCGCTCATCGGCGGCGGGGTACCAGCCATAGGCAGGGCTGCCGACCCGCCGGCATAGCTGGCAGGTACTCCACGACGCAGGCCGAGCTGTGCAAACATGGCGTACATCTCAGACCGCAGCGCCTGGAACTCCTCCCGTGTAACAAACTGCTCGTGCTCCGCACTTTCACCTAGGGCACCCATGAGCGGAGGAAAAGGGTGTGAAGAATCCCCCCTCTGGCCAAGGGGATCAACGTCTTCTGCAGCAGTCCCGTGTGCCCTCACACTATCATGCTGGCGGGAAAAGGGGAGCTCAGGGAAGGGATTAGCATAAGTGCCTGCCTGATGCCCGCGCGAAGGACCGGCGAGGGGGGAGACCGCCCTGCCCCGGACAGGAGAAGCGTGGAGTTGCCGAAATGGGTACGAGGGTGAGGCGAGTGGGGATTGCGTGACGGGGGCTGGTGGAGGGGATTCGGATTCCTCTCCTCTTGGCGCGCCGGGTGCCGTCGCACCGACTTTGCTCGGGCCGGAGTATGGTGTGTAGAACCTTGGTGCTCCTGTGGATAGCGGTGTAACACTCGCTCTTCCGGCAGCCTTCGTTAGCTGCATCCGTTGCACGCTTACGGGTGGCCCAATGCATGTAACGCGAGGGGCTGAGATGTAGAGGGAGTAGGATAAAGAAATTAGAGTCGATCGGTTTCAATACAGGGCCAGACATGCATGCATAACATCAAAGGTTTGAATCTAAATCGGGTTTAGGGTTGTACTGTTTTGAGACCAGAGGGTTTACCTTGCTTGGCAGATTCGTCGACCTTCTCCTTCCCTGCAGGGGAGAAACAATGTGGAAAAAATGGTGTTATTTGGCACAGTTGAGTAGATGGTTCAACAACCACGCCAGTTGTATTGGCCACAATGCTCACCTTTCTGCTGTCCCTTCGGTTTTGGGGCAGCCTGCGCCTTCTCGTTGCCACCTTTCCGCGGGGTGCTTTGGCGGACGCTGCGACGTTTACCGGTAGGTTCTTTCTTGCCGGTACCCACTGGAACCCCTTTGGCACGGCCACCCTTTCCTCCTCCATCCCCTTTTGCTCCCTGGCTCCCTTGCTTTTTACCACCCCCTTCACTTTCGACCTTCACCTTACGCGCCTTCGGTTTGCCCGCTGCTTCGCCGCGCGCGGCGTCAACTGCCCCGCGTTTTCGAGAAGGGCGAGTCCGGCCCCCCACCTTCCTTGTACCACTCACCCGTCTGCCACGCCCGCCCCGTCCCTTCACTAGCGCCACATCCTCCTCCTCCTCCTCCTCCTCCTCCTCCTCCTCCTCCTCCTCCTCCTCCTCCTCCTCCTCCTCCTCCTCCTCCTCCTCCTCCTCCTCCTCCTCCTCCTCCTCTGCCTCCTCCTCCTCCTCCTCCTCCTCCTCCTCCTCCTCCTCCTCCTCCTCCTCCTCCTCCTCCTCCTCCTCCTCTGCCTCCTCCTCCTCCTCCTCCTCCTCCTCCTCCTCCTCCTCCTCCTCCTCCTCCTCCTCCTCCTCCTCCTCCTCCTCCTCCTCCTCATCCTCCTCCTCCTCCTCCTCCTCCTCCTCCTCCTCCTCCTCCTCCTCCTCCTCCTCCTCCTCCTCCTCCTCCTCCTCCTCTTCGTCCTCCCCGCCATCATTCTCATCTTTTTCATCCTCCCCAACATCCGTGTCATCCTCCTCCGCATCCTCTTCATCCTCCTCTTCCTCCGCATCCTCCTCCTCATCCTCCTCCTCCTCCTCCGCGTCACTGGGGTCTTCATCGCCCCGTTTCGGCCTCGTTCCCGTCGCTGCTTTCTTGCCTCTCCTTCCGCCGGATGTTTTTCTTGCTGCGGGTCGGCCCTTCTGGCGCAATGCTTGACCGCCCGCCTTGCCACTAGCTTCCTTGGCGCCTCGCGTTGTCCCAACTTCCGCGCCTCCGGCGTCGTCAGCACTACCTGTCGTCTGCCGCCTCTTCGCCCGCGTGGTGAGGTCCCCGGGCACGGCGGTGTCATAATCGTCCTCCCCATCGCTCTTCCTCTGCCTACGCCTCCCCCGTCCACCAGAAGGAGGAGAGCCACCGACCAGCCCCACCGACTCGTGCTCCCCCACCTTGTCCTTATCCAGCACGGCTGCAGAAACTTCGACCACGGTCGGCTGGAGCAGCGTCAGATGCTGTTGCGATGCTGCCGCCTCGGACTCCTTGGTTGCGGCATGCTCGGCGCGGGGATCGCCTCCGTGGTTTCCCCCTGTCGCCGATCCCTCTATCTCCGCCGACGGGACTGCAAGACTCGCGCTCCCTCGCTCTGGATCTTCGTTGCCGCCAGTGGTGCCGTCGTTACTCGGACTGGGCTCGGTTCCAGCAGAGGCAACATCCGCATCTTTGTTCACTGGCGTTGGTTTAGGCCTCTTGTCTTCCGCTTTCTTGCCGGACTTCTCTTGACCGCGCTCGACCTTTTTTGCCGCCACTTTTTTCTGCCCAATGCCACGCGCGACGGACACATTAGTTTTTTTAGCGCCGCCACCACTCTCCCTATCGATCTGTTTAGACGTCCTCCTTGTCGCGCGGCGGCCGACCTGTTCCTCCTCCATTGCTTGGTTACGTGTTGCACGTGTCATGGTAGTTGTAGGAAAGCAAATTAGCACATCGCGCGGAAGGGTTGAGCCGGTTTTGAAGGGGTACTGCAACTGAATCCCACGATGGGATTATCGACGGTCTATCACTGTTATCTGTATCCGAAAACCGCCGCTTCAACTAAAACTGAAATAGTAGCCACTAACCACAGAGCTACGGCCGATCTGGAAAGGCGTGTGTCAAACAGCGAGCAGCGTCAAAGGGTTGGCCCAGAGAGTGACGGCAGCAGGTGGGTGGGGCACGAGGGTGGTTGGGGTGGGTTGCGAGACTAGAGAGATTACTGTAACCCTATCAGGCTATATCGGACGGTGTACGTGTAGCCACCCTAGCATAAACCCACCTACCGCTCGATCTCAGCCGCTCAATGGCTGAAGTACCTCTTGGCTGGTGATTGTGTTGCGGGGGGAATCGTTTGAGATGCGTCGGCCAATCACGGTTGCCAACGCATCAATCACTACAAAGGGTACAACGGTTGTGGAACCAAAAGTGCGAAATTAGTCAAATCCCTGCAAAGTACAGTGTTGTCGCGAACGCACAGTGTTGCACATAGCAGCTAAATTAAATTCAAACATACAACAATAGAATTCATCAAACACTTAGTTGCAAATGGTTTAGTATGGGGTTGGGGTAAGTTAATCGGTGATTCTCACGTCACATACACAACGACCGTCCAGAAGTTTTACTTGTGACAGATGTACTGCGCACTTTTAGGCTTTGCCACAACGGTTTATCGCCAGCGGACGACATTCAAACACGATGATCAATAGTAACAAACAAGAATCAGTTGTAGTATGGTGTTGGATTGTCATCCATTCTTGCACGGACATTAAACAAGGTGCTTAGAAGGAGTGGTATGAAGCACAGGCCCAACGCACAAGCGGCGATGCGTTATCGACAGCCAGGTTTACACAGCGCGACGATGCAGCATTCAGGCCTGCGGGTTGCGCGACATGGTGTATCCGTTGTGGTATGGTGTTGGATTGTCATCCATTCTTGCACGGACATTCAAAAAGGGGCTTAGAAGGAGTGGTATGAAGCACAGGCCCAACGCACAAGCCTAGATGCGTTACCGACAGCCATGTTTAGACAGTGCGAAGATGCAGCATTCAGGCCTGCGGGTTGCGCGACATGGTGAATCCGTTGTGGTATGGTGTTGGATTGTCATCCATTCTTGCACGGACATTAAACAAGGTGCTTAGAAGGAGTGGTATGAAGCACAGGCCCAACGCACAAGCGTTGATGCGTTACCGTGTTTAGACAGTGCGACGATACAGCGTTCAGGCCTGCGGGTTGCGCGACATGGTGAATCCGTTGTGGTATGGTGTTGGATTGTCATCCATTCTTGCACGGACATTCAACAAGGTGCTTAGAAGGAGTGGTATGAAGCACAGGCCCAACGCACAAGCGTATATGCGTTACCGACAGCCATGTTTAGACAGTGCGACGATGCAGCGTTCAGGCCTGCGGGTTGCGCGACATGGTGAATCCGTTGTGGTATGGTGTTGGACTGTCATCCATTCTTGCACGGACATTCAACAAGGTGCTTAGAAGGAGTGGTATGAAGCACAGGCCCAACGCACAAGCGTATATGCGTTACCGACAGCCATGTTTAGACAGTGCGATGATGCAGCGTTCAGGCCTGCGGGTTGCGCGACATGGTGAATCCGTTGTGGTATGGTGTTGGACTGTCATCCATTCTTGCACGGACATTAAACAAGGTGCTTAGAAGGAGTGGTATGAAGCACAGGCCCAACGCACAAGCGGCGATGCGTTATCGACAGCCAGGTCTACACAGTGCGTCGATGCAGCGTTCAGGCCTGCGGGTTGCGCGACATGGTGAATCCGTTGTGGTATGGTGTTGGATTGTCATCCATTCTTGCAGGGACATTCAACAAGGTGCTTAGAAGGAGTGGTATGAAGCACAGGCCCAACGCACAAGCGTTGATGCGTTATCGACAGCCATGTTTAGACAGTGCGACGATGCAGCGTTCAGGCCTGCGGGTTGCGCGACATGGTGAATCCGTTGTGGTATGGTGTTGGATTGTCATCCATTCTTGCACGGACATTCAACAAGGTGCTTAGAAGGAGTGGTATGAAGCACAGGCCCAACGCACAAGCGTATATGTGTTACCGACAGCCATGTTTAGACAGTGCGACGATGCAGCGTTCAGGCCTGCGGGTTGCGCGACATGGTGAATCCGTTGTGGTATGGTGTTGGACTGTCATCCATTCTTGCACGGACATTAAACAAGGTGCTTAGAAGGAGTGGTATGAAGCACAGGCCCAACGCACAAGCGGCGATGCGTTATCGACAGCCAGGTCTACACAGTGCGTCGATGCAGCGTTCAGGCCTGCGGGTTGCGCGACATGGTGAATCCGTTGTGGTATGGTGTTGGATTGTCATCCATTCTTGCAGGGACATTCAACAAGGTGCTTAGAAGGAGTGGTATGAAGCACAGGCCCAACGCACAAGCGTTGCTGCGTTATCGACAGCCATGTTTAGACAGTGCGACGATGCAGCGTTCAGGCCTGCGGGTTGCGCGACATGGTGAATCCGTTGTGGTATGGTGTTGGATTGTCATCCATTCTTGCACGGACATTCAACAAGGTGCTTAGAAGGAGTGGTATGAAGCACAGGCCCAACGCACAAGCCTAGATGCGTTTGTCAGAAACAAGAAGTGTTGAACTAGAAACAAGTGGGAGTACAAATATGAAACCCTAGAGTTGTGAACACCCTAAAGGCTAACCCACTGTAGCCTACAATAATGTAACACATAAAATGTTTGACACACCCCCATAGGCGAAGTGGGGGAGAGCAAGGGGTCACAAGAACAGTCAGAGCAAAGCAAAGCAAAAAAAGCTCAGGGTGGATCTCAAGGATACCACACAAATTCCGAGCACAAGCAAATGGTCACAAGACCAGTTCACATGCAGTTTGATAATATAGCAAGAGGTACAGTGATCACAACCTAGCAAGTGTAAGCATGCAGGTATATATATAGAGATCACAGTACAAGCAGAGTCAAGAAGTGAGCAAGTGAGGGACAGTAGGCACAAGGCCTAGAACAGTACAGAAACGCTGATGATCACAAGGCTGAAGCGCCTTGGTGAACACATCAGCAGTGTTGGCCCGAGTGGCCACGTACGAGAGACGAAGCTGACCATGCTGCTGCAGCTCTCGAGCAAGGAAGTAGCGCAGAGCAATGTGCTTCGTTCTGTGCTCCAGTCTGTGCTCCTGACACAAGGCAAGGGCTGCCTTGTTGTCGACGTACAGCACTGGAGGAGAACGAGGCCGCTCGCCCAGGTCGGTCAGCAGGTAGGTGAGCCAGCGTAACTCCTGTGCAGCCATGGCTGTGGCGTAGATCTCAGCCTCACAACTGGAGCTGAGAACTGAAGACGAGCGAGTAGAACGCCAAGAAACTGAACCACAGCCAAGACTGAAGGTGTAACCCTGAGACGACCGCTGCGTAGCCTGGTCGTCAGCCCAAGAAGCGTCTGAGTGCCCAGTGAGGACAACGTCTCTCCGTCCTCCAAGCACAAGCCCCATGCCCGACGTACTGCACAAGTAGCGCAACACCCTCTTAGCGGCATCCATGTGCTCCTTCCGGTGACGGCCAGGAGCGACATAGCGTGCTAGGATGCTAAGAGGGTATGCAAGGTCAGGTCGAGTGCAGGTCATCAGGTACATGAGGCAGCCTACAAGCTCTGGATACGGGCCACTCGGCTCTACGGACTCATCCGAAGGCAGAGCTGAGAGCGAGTGACCGGTAGGCAGAGGAGTGGGCTGAGGCGAGGAGTACGTGAAGCGGAAGCGCTGAAGGACCTGCTGCACCATGTGTGACTGAGTCAAGGTGATGGTGCACTGTGCTCTGTCCCGGGTGATCCGCAAGCCAAGATAGCTTGTCAGTTCACCCAGGTCTGTGCACGTGTGTCTCTTCTGCAGCTCTGACTTCACGTGGGCGAGTGCCTCAGTGTCAGCAGTAGCAAAGACCAGGTCGTCTACGTACACTAGAACGTAGAACGGCGGCAGAGTGGTGTCGGTGCGTAGAAACAGCGACGGGTCAGCAGTGGAAGGAGCAAACCCAAGAGCAGCAAGAGTAGTCCTCAGTGTGTCGTGCCACTCACGGGGTGCCTGGCGGAGACCGTAGACTGGCCGCCAGGCACCCCGTGAGTGGGTACCAGGAGGGAACGACCCAGTGAAGCCAGGTGGGCGGCGCAGCCAGATCTCCTCGTGCAGGCTGCCCTGTAAGAACGCAGTGCTGAAGTCAAGAGAGTGGAGCTCGTAGTCACGCTGAGCGGCAGAAGGTCATCTTCGGGGTCGGGGAGAAGGTCTGGAAGAAGTCAACTCCCTCTCGCTGACTGAAGCCTCGTGCAACGTACCGCGCCTTGAAGACAGGCGGAGAACCCGGTAGCCGCTTCACACTGAAAATCCACATGCCACTGACAATGTTCGCCCCAGGTGGGGGAACCTCGTCGACGTAGGTGCCTGTGGACTTCCAGGAAGCCATCTCTGCGTCCATGGCTGTCTGCCACTGAGAGGAGTAGGGACCCTCCATCGCCTCTGCGTAAGAGCGTGGGGTCGGGATGTCTGGTGCATCCGGGTCTCCCTCAGGGGCAATCAGCATGGACACGAGATGAGGTAAAGCAGCAGCAAAGCACTCAAACTCCTCCTGTCTGTCCTCAAGGACGTCCGTGCCAAGAGCACACTCACCCCCGACGGACGGAGGACAGACAGACTCAGACTCAGCAAGGCTAGCGGCGTAGTCTAGACGACAGGCGGCAGCAAAGTCAACAAGCTCAGCGACTAGAGCAGACGCAGCAGAGGACTCAAAGGAAGGGTCAGTGACAACAGTAGCGAGGAAATGCGTGACAGTAGGACTGGCAGCACGAGCAAGGTCTGACGGCGGGTCAGCAACGTCAGGAAGAGAGGACGCAGGAGGAGACGGCAGAGGGACAC